TGCTCCTCCTGTCACTAGTGTGTGGGAAAGGATTAAAAAATTTGCTAAAATAAAAAATACTTTGGTCTCTCCTTTTAATAATAAAACTTTTGCTTTTATCAAGTTTGGGTGGGGGTCTTTTTCCTCATGCTATGCTCTTTTCAGCAAATTATTGCTGATACCTAGATTAAACTGATTTTATAAACAATGCTGAAAAGTTGCAAAACACTTTAATCATAACTTGGTTTCCCTATGTACCAAATAAAATTCTTGCAGAATTATTTATTTCTGTGCTTTGACATTTTTCAAGAATCTGTTCTACTTCCCAACCTGTTAGAATAAAAATAGTATGTTACTATTTTTATTTTATAAGTAACATACTATTTTTATTTTATTTTACAAGTATGTTACTTGTAAAACTGTTTAAATTTGATTTTAAGTTCAAACACATTTTTAAATATCTGCTTGGTGATGTATTAATATTACTTTTCTTCTATTTTAGAATTAATGAGATGTCTATGTAAAAAGTAGCCCTATTGAAATTAACAAAGACACTAATTTATCTAGAAAGTGTATAAAATTCTTCAGATATGACTTCAGATCTTAAACTGATGACAAAATTTCCTGAGAATTATTTCTTGAAAATTTTCTTAAAGGAGATAATAAAACAGTGGCCAGCAAACTGAAATCTCAATCTGAGGAGAATACAAATTTCAAATGTGTTAGTTTTTTTTTTTTAATTGATAAAAAGTTAATACAAGCCATTTACTTTCCCCCAAATATGAAAATAAACTTATTTCTCTTCATTAAAATTTACTTAATTGGTAAATAAAAATGTATATTTTTTTTTTTTTTTTTTTTTTTTGTATCTATCCTCAAAATATATATCAATAATAATGATTGGCAACTATTATATGAATTTATTGACTCAGATCTCATTAGAATTACTTTTCCCCCTCTAGGCAAAACATATGAAAGTTTTTACATGTTTTTACTTTTGGAGCCAAAGTATATGACCAGATTGGTTAAAGCAATATATAACTAATTTACCCATAATAATCTGAATGGAATTTCCTTAGGAAAATGAACATGAAGGAAGTAAGGGTGATTCAACTCCATGGAAGTAGCATTGTGTACCCCAACAATAAAAGCTTGAACTGGTGGAACTAAAGAATGGGCCTCTTTTTAAACATTTACCATGGAAATAGTGATAGGCTTACAATGTCATGCCTCTGGAAAAATAAATCTGAACTCTGACAAACATGGAAAGTGAGGATTGAGTAGTTCCAGCCCAGATATGGCAGCAGTACTCCATTTTGGGCTTATGGCAGGTGTCTGATACTTCTTAGGACAAAAGGAGTTGACCATTTTTTTCAGTGTCTTCAGGAATGGATTCTATATATGTTCCACTTGAGTTCTGAAGTTAACATTCAAAGCATGGAGCCTCAGTGAGAGTGCAACCATTAATTGTGACTGAAGAAAACAGGCCTGAATGGTGGTAATTGGCAGTAACAAAGACCAGATCAGCTACAAGGCTTGAATCATTGTTGTATATATTAAAAAAAATATGAAATAAAGTTATGTATGTATACATGGAGAGAAACTAACACAGAATTTCAAGTTGGCAAATGCATTCCTGTATAGATCTTAAAGCTTCCTTTCGGTTTCTCTTTGGCTACTGAAAATAAAACCCCAAACATTTCTGTCTGCTTACCAATGATGCTTTGTTGAAGCTGAAAAAGTCAGATTTCACACTACTCTCCAGTCAATCACAAAGAATGAGAAAAATGGTTTTTGGATCTATCACCCTCCTCTTTGTTGCTTTTAATTTCTTTGTATCAGATTTTATAGATGAAAACAAACATTAAGCTAATCAATAAATAAATCCTTTTTCAGTATAAAAGTTGCTCATTTTAATAGATTAGAATAGGACATTCCTACAAGTTGAATTTCAAGAGGTTTGTTCTTCTCGTAGGAATGAAAACTGAATGATTATTAGAGAATGCACTAATTGAAACAACAAAGAGAAGGCGGATTGAATGAATCCAAGTGACACTGAGCAATGATCCTAACACAATTCACAAAGTGGATTCACAAGTCAATTTAAATCTCAAGCTATAGTTTTATTAATTCAACTTGCTAAAGTGATAACCACTTGTAAAACTTGAAAAATAAATTTTATGCATTGGATTTAACCAATAAATACGTAGTGCACCTCACATTTTGCGAACTATTTGTTCAAACGATGGGTTATACAACGTATATAAACTTGCTATATTTTTGGCACCAAGTTAACCAGGAGAGATGACTGATTTTACCAGTCATTAAACAGAAACCAATCTGTTGAAAACAAAATTTATAGAATTATCAGATGAGAAATTCCAGTTGTTTGAGAAAAAAAAAAAGACATTCTAAAATTACAAGCCAAAACATTGAAACAAGCTATTAATATGAGCATGAAAGAAAAATATTAAAGTAATATTACTAATCTAAAATATACTGTCAGTAACATAGATAATATATCACAGCAGTAATAAGCAAATCCACTTGCGCATTTTTTTATAATGCTAGTATCTATACTGTTAATGATACTATAAACACTATAAGTAATAAAATATTAATTGCTTCAAATAATATGAAAATAATAACTATTATAAATACTACTGATGGTAATAACATTTTAAATGTTTATTCTCTCATAAATAATAATAAATTAGCTACAGTATTTATAACAATCAGAATAATGATACTAGTCTGAATAATTCTTACGTTAAAACCATGACTCTGTGATTTCATTGTTAATGATCATTTCCAAATGGAATTATGACTACATTATATGCAGTAGACATTTTGCCTTCTCATTTAACTGCAAATGGAAAACTTTCTTCAAATTCAATTATGCAATTTTTCACCAGTTCCATAAGAAAATAATTCTACAATTGTAAATAATAAAAAATATTGCAAATAGAATGTAATAATGTTTATACCAGAGGTTGATACTCTTGCAAGCACTGATAAAAATCACAATAATCCTATTACTAAATTATATCATGTTTGGCAAATTTAAAAAATATCCTGAATCAATCGGCTCAGTTTTCTGTAATGTTCTACTCTTCTCAAATATTTCTTTTGTCAGATGCAAAAATGCTATCATTTTGCAGTTTATTTGAATTTTAAAATAAACTAAGACTCAGCTTCTTTCAAAAATGAAATAAAAGCACCATAAATGATATTGTACTTTAAAAACAAAAAAGTCATAGGGAAGATCCAGACAAGGTGATTTTGGAAATACGATTTAGAATTTGTAGTTTAATCATTTATACTGTTATTCATTTTTGTTTGCAACATATCAATCAATATGTCTTTTTTGTTGTCCACACCTGAGATACCAGATATTGTTTACATTATGTAGATTGATAAGAACTTTTTTTCCTTTCTAGACTTAAATATTTTAATCAGTAATCTTTGATATTCTTTGGTGTGAATGATTGTCTTATGTTTTACAAATATTTTGACTCACAAGAAACAAAAGAACAGTGTTAATTGACTAAAACAAAAGTAGATTAGTATAAATAGTATGTTACAATTTGCAGGTTTGTAGTTTACATCATTTTCAAATAAACTGGTTATATGAGCACAAAAGATGAGCATAACAGTTTAAAGTGAAAAATGAAAACCTCAGTTATAGCCTCTTCAAACCAAAATTCTACTGGAATGATTATTCTGCTTTTTAAAAAGTATTTTTTGTCACATTGTGTCAACTTAAATATTTTGATAAAGTAACATTCAAAAGGAGGATGAAGGATGCAAGATTTTTGTTTTTTCTTTTTATAAAATGAATGTAGAAAATGAATAAAATTAGTTTATTCATTTTTATAATTTTGCAAATCAACTCTCAAATGATTTTGAAAAATTATATAAATAATCTTTCCTATTTCTATTAGGACATATTTTTAAATTGGGCAAATGTCCCATAGTAACAAATTGGAGTCATATGCTCATGTCATATTTATTTGCAAGAATGTATGTATTTGAATTTTATTTCCTTTTTGTCATATTTACTATGATTCTTTTTCAATTATAACAAAATTATATTGTTATATTCTTTTATAACCAAATGATTTTTTTAAGTCAATTCATGTTTTCTTATAACAGAAATAATTTTCTCATAATTTTATAAATTCTATAAACTTAAACATTCTCTTTGAAGATTTCTGTACTTTCCTGTGATATTTAGTTTCTTATAAAGACTAAGTTTTTAGTTCTTCATCTCCATGTCATTCTTTTTAAACTAGTAGTCAATTTTCAGCAGATAGAAAAAATTTTAACAAGTTACTTAAAAAATACACTAAACTAGTGAACTGGATACATTGAATGTTTACATTCAAATCTGAAGCATTTATTTCTTACTTTATATCTTTTCTTTTTTGAAGGAAGCATTTCTTTTTCATGCCAACCTGCCTTCATCAAAGAATTGTTTGTTTTTGTTTCTTAAAGAGAGTTCAACTGTTTTAAAATTGATTAAATTTTAGATAGTGCAAATATTTTATAATTTTTTAAATGAAAAATACAAGTCTTAAAATTAAACAAAATTAATTATAAGCAAAAAATTCAATAAAATGAGAAATAAATTTTTTTTTAAGATACTGAAAATAAAAATGAAGGAAAAGTAAAATTTTCAGTTCTTCATAATCCATAATGACAAAATCCTTTTTAATACTTGATTTTTTTTTCTTTCTCTTGCTCTCTTAAATTGAGCCACAATGGGACAGTCATTGTCAGATTTTGTTTTTCAAATTATTTCTCAGCAGTTTTAATTTGGAATACTTTTATTTTTTTCTTGTTCATCTTTTTTTGTTTTTTTGAAAATTAACCAGAGATCTATATTAGACCTTGGACAAATATTATTTTATATATCATTTATTGGATATATCATCCAATAAAACAGATACAGAATAGAGGAGAATCATATATCTATGCCACCATTAGAATAATTATTTATCACGGTTCACTTTGGTCCATCACTTGAGTCTTGATGTGTTTGGTTGTCCACTGTCTAATGACTGCCATTCATCCTCATCACTCTCTTGAGCCCATACTTCATTGTCCCAGCCAGACTCTTCTCGTATTTGATTGGAATCAGTGGTACTCAGATCTACTAAATTTCCCACAAGTGGTTCTTTCTGCTTGCCTGTGAAATCATCATTCCAACCTGACATATCATCCCAATCAATTCTGTTTTTGTTTATATTATTTTGCTGTGGTTTAGGTGATACTTTCTTCTTGCTCCCTGACATTGAGCTCTGGGTTGATGATACAGTGTTGGTGGACATGGGGGACCCTTGGGCACTGCCCACCTGCCAATCATCCCAATCAGAATTGAAATCGGACTTCTTGGACGGTGTCTTTTTTGACTGCAATTTAGGGCTGTCTGTGTCAATGCTACTGTCATTGAGCCATCTTTCAAGATCATTCATTTCTTTTTTCTTCTGAGCAGCAGCTGTAGTAGCATGGGAAGAACTAGCCGGATCAAACTCTGAGGGTGGGCTCCGAAGTTTTCCACTGCTGCCACTACTACTGCTACCACTTTCTCCAGGATGCCAGTCCCCTGCACCCCAACTTCCCCATGAATCATCATCTTCTGACAGCAGACGATTCTTGCTGGGATCTCTGCAAACATACAAAAATTAAAAATGAATTAGAACTATCTTTTTATAATAGAGATTCTTTTATAATAATTAATTGAATTTCTTAAATTTACTGAAAACTGATTGTTTCCTATTACTAAAATTAATATTTTAAAATGTTTTTTTCTTCCATTTGAAAAAAATGCTGCAGATAATTTATAATAATGAAAAAATATATATACCATACATTTCAAATGGATAAAATAATAAAAGCAGTAAGAATTACCTCCCCTTTGTGGGTGATGCATTGCCTCCTCCAAGAAGGGAGGTTTTCTCCCCTGGGCTAGTGTCAGCAGTGGCAAGAGTTGTCTTCGGTTCTCCTCCCCATAATGTTGAAGATAAACCCTGCCAACCTTTTGTGCCTGCAGAAGAGAGCTGGGAGAAAAATCGATTCAAAACATTTTAAACTTCTTTCTATAATAAAAGCAATAATCTTTTCAAGATATAATTAAAAGATTTTCTTACTAGACATGATAAATCTTTTGTTAGTTTTATGTAGACTTTAAATATTACAAAAATACTTTTACAAACATAAAAGAAAAAGTAACCTTGATAGTCTTAAAATGACAATATTCAAATTATTAGATTTTCTGAAATATTCTCAGTGCTCTAAGAGATTTTAATTAATGAAAATCATGCATAAATTAAAAAATAATTAAAATATATCTGAAATCCAAGTTATTTGGAATATAACTGTAAACATCTTTGTATCCTTTAAAAACTGTCAATGTTAGAAATATATCTTTAAAATTGCAAAAAAATGTTTTTAATGCAGCTGTAGATCTTGTTTAATAAAATTTGAGAAGAAAAGTAAATGTAACAAATAAAACTGCAATATTGATTTTGTAAAATTATCTAGAAAAATGTATACAAAACAGATTTGGTACAAATATGGAGACTCATTTTGTAAAGCTAGCTGATTATTAAAATCTATCCAAGGGTTAATACTGGCTGATAAACATTTCATCATATTTTAGCAATCTTGATAAAAATCAAATAGGGTTGTTTTAATGTTCAAAGTAGACTCATAAAGGAAGTAGCAATTATCATTTTCAAGAAATACATACAATATGCTTATGGCATGGATAGCACAATATGAAACCTTTAGCCACTGACACAACACCACATGCATAACATCAAAAGCAATGCTGAGAAAGTGTAAATTCAATTGTGCATTATTGCTGAACATACTGGTCAAAATTATTTAATTCTATAAATTAAGAAACAAGTTCAAAAAATTATTCAATGAATAAATAAAATAATAATCTGTAAGAAACCAACAACAACAGTAAGAAGAAAAAAAAAGACAAATGTTTAAAAAAAACTGATTTTAAAGTCAGTCTGAGGTTTTGCGAATATAAATGAAACTTGAATTTCAAGATCATACAAAGATTTTTCTCTAAAATTTCTTTTAAAGTCAACTTTAAAATACTTCATATCTCACAGAAGTGATAGTAACAAATTCCCTGTATAATAATAATAAGCAGAGTATTAAAAATAAACTATCAGATTGTTATCTACAATAACATTTCTTCATTATAATAAAGCAGAATTCAAATAATAAACATGATTAGTGCTAGAGGATGTTAATGTCTTGACTACTTTGCCGGTTAAATATTAAACAACATTAATTCCAAAACAACTTCCTTTATTGTCTTCATTTTGGCCTTTAAACACTGTTGTGATTAATACTTTCTTGCCAGGAATCCCCATAGATTTATTCTTGATCTACACACATTGAGGGGAAAAACATGTTGGTACTGAAGCTGTTAAAAAAAATTTGCTTTGGCTTTTGCTTTTAGTTCTCTATCTCACCATTTATACAGGAATTAATTTTATGTACTTTGAAAGGATCTCTTAAATACTGAATAACACTCAAAGCTAAAATTGTTTACTCATCTTTGTTAAATGTTAAGTGCAGTATAATTCAATGATTTATTATTTTTTCTTAAAAAAATTTATCCACACATGGCCCCTAACAATCACTCAATCTGGAAAAATATCAGGATAAATTTAAGAATATATTGATATTATTTTCAAGAAATTACAGCTTTACTTATAGAAAGATTGAGAAACAAATTAAAAACTGTCAATTTTAAATGAGTTACATTTTAAAATGGAGTTTAATTTTAACCATTAACATTTTCTCTTAAAATACTGAAACAGAATTTCCAATTTAAAGAAAAAAATTCAATTGACACAAGAATAAAAAAATTATGTAATAAGTATAGAAAGAGGTTTCAAATGATGGCTGTTTTATAAATGTATACAGAAGTGTACTTAATGCAAGTTCATTTTTTTGGGCCAGATATTAAAAATTATCAAACATTTAATTTGTGAACATTGTGATTTTATCATTATAGCCTATTTTAAAGCTAAAATGATTTCCATAAGAATGGCAAATCAGTTACAAAAACTAACATACAAAATATATGCATATTCATTTGTATTCAGTCAAAATTAATTCACTTTTTTCCAGCTTTCAACTACAAGGGATTTTTGTAAGAAGCTATTTCTTTAAGGAAATTATATCTGGGTAGAAGAAAAGTTCTCACATTTTGTAGAACATTAAATTTAATTACAAACTGCAAGAACTTTCCTTCTAACCATATATGATGTACATGCATACACATACACCACCAGATAATAAAGAATTGTAACAGCCTGAAGCACAATTTAGATCTAAGTTTGAGTATGCAAGGACATAGTAGATTAAATTTTCAAAGTATCTTGTGACATATTCATACCTGTATACTGTTTGGGTATGAGCGTTAAACATAAGCTGTAATAAGTTTCAGTGTGGTGAAAGTATCCAGTGTAAGCAAGCACCATTCTATAGAGACATACATACGCTCTTTTGGTTCAATTAGAGCCATTGGAAAGTGGGGATTGGATTGTGGGTTTTTGACATATTTATGTCAGAAATTATATTTTTGCATAATGACATGGTGTAAGCTAAATATAGATCTAAAACAAACAACTGCAAACAATATATTATTCACCAGTAAGGATCATTATATTTGACAGCAAATAGCAAAAATTTGAAATGTCCAATGTCTATATTTGTGTTTTATCATTCCACGTGCAGAGAATCATTTTGCTCACTACTGTTTCATTTTCCAAGGTTGTTGGCATTACATAATGAAAGTACATATGTGAAGTTTTAAAAATCTGACCAAACATCAGATATTTTTTTTTTTTTTTTAATAGAAAGGCTTCTTGGATAACCTATAAATTTTTCAGCACACCTTCATAATACATTTTTATAATTATAAGTAGCACTTCAGTATTGTAGAAAAATTTCTTTAAAGAAAACTTATATTTTGTGGAAAACAGCAAGCCATTATACCTAAATCAATCAATATTATCAACTCTAACACCTAAATAGATTTTGTTTCCAAATAATTACTGACTTAAAATCAAGATAATATTCATCTGAAAAATGAAAAAAGAAATAACATGCAAATTCTCGTTAGCATCTGTCAGAAGAAATGGACAATAAAGTTACCATTGCCTGATGTATACAAACTGTTGACATAGCAACACCCAAAGTGAGTGTGGCACTTACTTTAGAAGCAAATCCGCTCATGGAGGTACCAACGTCATTCAGCAGAGTGCCCTCTTTTACCTGAAAACAGAAGCAAATATAAAGTAATATTTAAAGCCACCGCTTTAAATTCACTAAAGGTTGGCAGTAATGTAGGGCACGAAAGAACGGAGACTTTGAAATTTGTTCATATAAGCTTTATATTAAGAATTATTTTTTTGTGATTCTTGACTGATTTTACAAAAGTTTTTAAAATTCTGTATTGAGGTATTCTTTTTCTTAGACTGCGCATAAAATTATCAGATTTCTAGAAGGAGTTAATCTGAAGAATGACTCACAATCAAATGAGAGTGAAATTAGAAATTTCACTTTCAATTCCATGGTGATAGATTTACTAATGAAGGAAATTAAACTACTGCAGCATATTTAGATTGACCTGAGCCATCATAAAGATGCAATAAAACAATAAATTGAAAAATAAATTCATTCTACATGACAATAGAGACAATAGTGCTAGTTCAAATCAGCTCAAGAATAACACTACAGTATTTTTGTCACATGGATTATTAGGGAAGAGCATCCAGAAGAAAGCTTTTTCTTAAGTCAGATAATATTCATCAGAAAAAGCAGTGAAAAATTGAGATGGTGGTTAGATTTTCATCTCTTCAAATGATTTCTTGTTGAATTTGTTTTGAATTACTCACAACACATCATATACTTTTGGTTATGATATGGGTGTAACTACTTAGAGCATGGTTCATGCAACACTTTTTTGATAGATTTGATATGGCAATTAGAATGATAAGAAACAGATCTAAATAAAAAAAATATATATGTTATTCAATGCATTATTTGGATTTGAAAGATAGCAGTGAAATTGAGTATTAGGAGTGTGTGGGAGCCTTTTTCAAGGGCCAGCAACATTGACTAATAGGTCATTTGCTTTACCTAAAAAAGTCGTTTAGGAACATGTTATACAGATTAGGTATCAAATCAAGAAAAGCACATCTCATTCAAAGCAGAACAAAGTAGGTAAATACCTTAAAAGGTTTGTAACCTGTCAAAAAGGAATTGCGTGGACTTAACATAAAGTTCTACTGATAAAGTAAGCATTCCCAAGATAAGTTCATTTTGATTCAGATATGCCATGTTATCAATAACATCCATGATATCAAAAATCAGAATAAACCAGGATGGTGGTGACTTCTCTGGAAAATTAGATCAAGAATAAGATTCATTAGTCTGTTATCAGATTGTTAGTATCTGCCAAAACTTAAGGAAAGTTTAGATCCACATCATATAAATGATATTTATTCTGCTGACATTTATAAGAGTACAAAGTATCTTGCAGATTAATCAGAGGACACCCAGCAATACAGATATAATTAGTGTCTCTTGCAATAATTTTTAGTGATGAAATGTGACTTTGGATTAATATCATCATAATTCAGACAAGTCTATCAATTTGCAACAAAACACATTCAGTATACTTCACTACCCCCTCCAACTTGCAAATAAAATTCTTTTCATAGAACATTATTTTCCTGTTTTCACTCAACATTTAAATATTCAACCAACAGTGTCCTGCCTTTTGGTAATTGCTGCTTCTTATTATCAGAATAGATTTTCTGAAGGTCCACCACCACTTTGAAAATCCATGGTACAATGGCTGAAGAAGAAAAAGTGCAATATCCATGGCAGACTGCTTTTAAAATAACATAAGACAAGCACAGCAAACCAAGTATTTCCAAAATCATCAATCTCTCTCGGGACAGACATAAGCAAAGAACAAAGCAGAAGTTCTTAATGTCCAAAATGAGACCAGTCACCAGCCAACCTCTGTCCACATGATGATATGTCTATATTGATGCCATTCATGTAGACAATATATAACTTTTCTATCATACTTGGTGCAAAAATAGCATAATATCATATTTTGTGTTTGGTCTGTTTGAGTTAGTGAAATGAAGAAAAGATTGAGAAAAAAAAATTCTATTTTCAATGTAGTTTGATTAATTATCACTTACAAGAAAATAGTAATTTTAAGTCAAAAATAAAAACTGTTAAATCTGTAAGTAGCAAAATTATCAAATGTTGCACACATAAAATGTTCTTGAAGTGTTTAAACTAATGAATAAAAACTCTTGTTTGAAAATAGAAATGTCTATTTCACTTTTGTCATGTCTGTAGTGCAAATGAAAAATTTATATTAATCATATTTTATACTAAACATATAGAAATCTTTGATTATTGTAAATTTTAGATTCATTTTTTTTAAAACCCTTATGAGGGTGTTAATATTATAAATAATGAAAATAATGAAAGATATATGATATCAAATTTTAGAATATATTTGTTTACAGCTTCTCACACTATAATAAAATTCTTTCACTACTTTTGCCAAAATTTAACGCTCACTACTTGTCAGACACTTGCTTCCAAAAACCAGCTCCCAAACCTTTTCTGATGAATGAGAGGGCCGGGAAAGTGTATAGCAATTTTGGAGAGAAAAGTTCTGTGATAGTCATCTTCGGAACCTGTTTCAAGGAAGAAATCTATATACTGGGCTCTAAAGACAGAACGTCGGTTATCTCCTAAAAACTAATCAAGATCTGCTTCCATGAAGCTAGAAATTCCTGTCGTCAACCTACAAAATTCACTCAACTACAAATTACGGATCTTTCAATTGTTTCCCCCTCAACAAGAGCTCTGAAGAAATCTATGTGAGTGTTAACCCTTAAGAACAATTTACTTGCTTAAAGAACTTTTAGGTGCTCAGAGAAATATTTTGAGCAAGCTTTTATATGAACACTTTTTTTTTCCTTTAAATTAAAAGAATTTTCTTCTTCCTTTCTTTCTCTCGTATTTGTGTATATCCCTTTATCTTTTTTGTGTATGTAAAACATTTTCTTCTTTGTTACACTCCGAGCAGGAGTTTGAGTCTTTATTCTTCCACCTAAAAGAGAGAATTGTCTGCTCTAATCTTTCAAGCCGTTGTTGCTTTTATTGATTCTATCACCTTTAACCATAACCCTTTCATGTATATAATACTCATGTACAGAACCTGAAGCCTGTAACTTCAGTGGCCTACATTCCTATGTATTAATGCCTCTAAGTATTTGTTACTGTGTTGTGTATACATTTATTTTCTATTGTATGTATTATATTGTCTTGTGTATTCAGTTATTACATCATCTTTCATATTCTTTCTGTTGTTTCCCTATTAATAAAGCTGTTGACTATATACTCCAACATGATTAATAGGATGAAGACATTCTGGCTGTCAAGATTTATCTATAAATTATGGGCAGCACAAATAACTGCAATTGAATATTTACTAAGCTTGCACAGGTTAATTGGGGAAAAAGCATGAGGGACCTACAAGCTTTGAAAACCAGTATTTGAAATTCTAGTTTATTACCTGACTTTTGCTATCAGTGAATATACAACAAACTCATTCATAATAAAGCCTAATAAATGATCACTTTTGAAAAGGTGTAACAATAATTATAGTAATTTTATTATTCTATTGATACCTATTGGTATAAGTTTTATTCTATTGGTATATGAACCCCTAGTTTAAAGGGTGGAGTCAGTAATGCACATTCCACTGTCTACATTAAAATTTCAATGGCTCAAACCGGAGTTATTTCACTTGTCTCCTGCTTCAATGATGTGGAAAGGCTTTTAGCAATCATGGGAAATCTTATATTTTCATTCATTCATGTTACGATTAGGATTCTATGAAATGTCAATATTTTGAAGGAGAAAAAAACGTTTTTCCCTATTTTTAGTCTGTCTTTGAGACACCATCAATGATCTGTCAATAAAATATTATAAAGTGTTTTACAATAGTCATATCAAACTATCATATCAGGATCAAATTATTTTCAAGCAGTTAATAGCATGAGTTTTAAGATAGTTGTCATTTTTTTTTTACTATTAGTAAGAGGTCTTTCTCAACTGCTTTTACTAATTTATTGCTGTTATCTACATTCACATTCAAAAAGTAATATTTTTATCAAAACTGCATTAATCAAGAACACCAAACATCTACCTTCTTTTTAAATGCATATTTTGAGTTACTAATAAATGAATTACCTATTGGATTCATACAAAGTGTATGTGCCTAAATAAAGAATGTAGATAGAACATTAATTAAATTCAAAGCTGGCATCTGACATTGTTACAGCCATTTTTTTCTATGAATACTTGGTAATCTTTCTAATATCTCACCAATTACAGATGTTACACACTAATAAAGATTATTGATCATGCATATGGTTTTAAGGTAATATTCTAAAGAACATTGCACCAGTGACTAACAATATTACTACTGATTGGCCAGTAATAGCTAGACATAGGCGTGTAACCAAAAAGTATTAGTAATTATAACTAAAGTTTGTAGTTAGTATTGCTTCCTCTTACAAACAATACAGATATACAACAGCATCCAATAACAGTAAAGCTACTATGCCAGTAATAAATAAATTCCTGGTTTCTACTATTGAATAGATAAAAGAACATAGAATTCAACAAGCAATATATACAATGCTGTGCAAAAGTAAGTGAACCCCTAAGATAATATTTAAAATAATTTTCACTTTTTTCCAGATAAGCAAGAAATCTTAATTAAACTATACATTCATTAAGAAAAACTTTTATTAAATCAATTACAACCACTTTCAAAGATTTTTATCAAGCTGGAATAAAAATATTAATTTGAAATTAAAAATTAAGATGTGCAAAATTAAGTGAACTCTTAGATTTACACTCTGTATTTTTGTTTTAGATGGTTGCCAGTGCAAATAATTTTTTGTGTTCATTTTCTGCAGTCAAACAATATAACTCATTGTGTATGCAAAAGTGTGCAGTTAGAGATTAAAGTTAAAAAAAATATATGCAAAGATCAAAAGAACTTCCTGAAACTTAAAAAAATATGCTTAGCTGAAAGCTACAAGAATCTATCAAAATGATTTGGAGTGCACTTCTCCACTATGCAACAAACTATTTATAAATGGAAGGCCTTTGGTATGATCACATTACAATCAAGGTAATGGCAGTCTGCAAAAAATAACAGC